CCAGCCGTCTCGCGGGACCGCCGCGCCCGGCCCACGGGCCTCCTTTCTCACGGGGCTGTTTCTCTCTCATTTTACCTCCAGAACTCTTTGCTGTAGCCTTTTGTGTCCTGCTGTTAAGCTGTAAGGACCTTGTGGGGTACATCTTCACGACCGACCGGTGAGTGCCGAGAGGAGAAACCTGCGGTAGAGACACGGCTGGGCAGGTGCTGCCACGCTGGGCCCCTGGGGCCTTGCATCTTGGCCGGTTCCTGCGTCATTTGCAACACCAGCAGCTCATTGATGTTCCCTGGGGGACTGACGGGTGAGGGACCAGTTTCCTGGCACTGGTGGTGGCATACGCTCTGGCGCTCAGGATACTCGTGTGTTTTCAAGGAGGAAACTCCTTTTTGGTCCCATTGATTGCATTTTCGGTTAACTATTTTGTTCCCACTACAAAAATGGCCGTGATAGCTCAGCGTGTGCCGGAGCGCCTGGTTCGTAGTGTTCACACAAGACGCCTTTCAACGGGGTGGAAGTTAAAGTCGCACCAGTGGGCTGTCTGTCAAGGCTGCGCCATCTGATTGATCACCGAGGCAGAAGTCTTACCCGAGGAGTGCCCTCCACGGCGCGGCTGCTGTGTGGCTGGCGCTGTTGCTTTCAGCCCGAGGCCAGCCGGGCATTTCTGTGACTAGACTGTGGGGCTACCTCTCCTCTGGGACTTTTCATCAGCAATTACACAAGCAAACTGACTCCCGTCATGGAGGCGAAGAGCAGGCGGAGGGACAGGACTAACCTTTGAGCCGGTCCTCCAGGTACCGGGTTGTCAGCTCCGTCTCCGCCATTCCGCTGTGGGCAGCTAAGCTGTCTCGCTGTCGCTCCCTTCAGACCGAGCGGGAAGGCAACCACAGACACTCATTCTCTCCGGGGGATCAGAAGTCCTTCATCAGAAGTGCTCGCTGCACTGAGGCTTCGGCGGGAAAGTGGGCGTTCGGTTCGGAGTCCGTCTCCTTCCGGAAACCGTGCAGAGCAGGAAAAAGAACGGGAAGCAGGAGGCTCACAGCCGATGCCTTGATGAGATGAGATGAGAAGACGCCACTGAAAGCGTGCGGACAGCTGTAGGCCGGCCGGGCCGCTGGAACTGGCGGGGGCGAGCACAGGTCCCAGCGATGACACACGCCGACCTGACGGGAGGGACGGAGGCGCCTCACAAAGCCGGGAACACAGCGGTCATGTTCACGCACAGGCCTGGTGTGCATGACTCGCGCGAGTAAATGTGAAAATCCCGGAGGAAAAGATAATTTTCTAGGAAAATAATTGATCAGAACTTGCCCTAGACAACATAGAAGGTCTACAAAGATGGATTTCCTTAGAAGAAACTCTTTAAAATTTCAAAATCACCAATCCAGAGGGTTCCAGAGGAGGATTTATAAAACCTAGATGACGGCGAGGCCTCTGAGCCGGTCCAGGAAGCAGGAAGGGACAGTCCACATTCTGCCGATGAAGCGAATGGACATCGGCACCAACTCTGACCAAGGCAGCACCGCAGGAAGGAGGCACAGCCGTCACTGACTAATAGAAACTTTAAAACCCAAAGCAAAATATCGGTGGGCAGAATTCAGCAGCCCCTCAAAAACAACACATTTTGGTGGAATGTAAAACGGCATGGAATGTGTTAGGTGGAAAATGAGAGTGCGGCGCATCGTATAGCGAATGCTGCAATGTGAAATAGTAGAGTCTAGAAGGGGAAAATAGGAATATATATTTGTATTTCCTATTTTTCATAAACACTGAACTAATACAGACAGTGGTGGAACTGTTACCGGTTGCGGGATGGAAGGGTTAGGAGGGGGGTGGGTGGGGTTAGGAGGGGAGTGGGAAAAATAGTAGATAGAAGGGGAAAATAGGAATATATATTTGTATTTCCTATTTTTCATAAACACTGAACTAATACAGACAGTGGTGGAACTGCTGTCGGTTGCGGGATGGAAGGGTTAGGAGGGGGGTGGGTGGGGTTAGGAGGGGAGTGGGAGGGTTAGAAG